TGCTGCTGCTACTGCTGTTGCTGCTCCCGCTCCTGCCCCTGCTCCCGATCCAGCTAATGCTACTGCTACGACTACGACGCGTGCTACCTGAATGGCCGAAGCACTAAAATGCAATGCCAGCTGCCCGTTCCTTCGGCTCCAAACTTGAAAGCCTCCAGTCTCAAGCACTCGAGATTCGGTAAGGTTTAAGGTTTAGGGTTTGGNNTTTGGGTTTTGTAGGGTTTTGGGTGTTGGGTTTGGGGGGGCTTCAACACCGGCTAGATGCCAGGCCCTACCAGGTCTTCGAGAAGGGCACAGCCACAGCCGTGTGCTCAGGGGGTTCCCTCATCGTGTCAAAACGAAACCCTAGCTACATCCTGTGTTGACGGGGCTTCCCGTTCCACGTCCTCTTCAAGGACACCGTTTTCACCAACCCCTTTGCACAGTCGAACTGCAAACGAAATCGAATGTGATTTGCAGGCAGAAGGCAGTCAGGCCTCATCACTTCTCAACGTGGCCGCAAATCCCTGAAGTGTCACATCTCCCGCTTCGTACCGTCGGCAAAGTCCAAATCAGGCTGTAAAGCGGAAGCTGTAGTACACCTCTGACTGTGACCTACTACAAAAGCATGACTTGTTTTCAGCACCAAACAAAGAGCCTGCGCCGAGGAGCTAGGTGTGTATCAGCGAAGACACGGATGGTTCTCCAAATCAGGGTCCTGTTTTAGGTCCCCAAAAGAGTACGGCCCTCAACTCTTTGCCCCAAACCTTTAATCCCCCCAAGCCTAAACCGAAGGATCCCGTGCCCAAAAGCTCCAAAGCCGCTGGCCCCAAGCTCCAGGGCACTACCTACAGTCTCGACTGTGCTTCCGTCTTTGGGTTACCTTAGAGGATTCTTAGCATAAAACTGGTTAAACCCAAAATTGAACTGCAATGGAGACTGTAGGTTGTAGGTAGATCCAAAGACCCTCTCTGTCGAGGCCTCGCGTAGTACGGAGATCGGAGCTACGGCTGCGGAGCCGCAGTTTTCACTCACGGCCGGGGATCCCAAACGGATGAGGGTTTAGGGTTTAGGGGTGGGAGTTTGGAAGTCGCACGCCGTGGATCAGCCTCAGTGCCATTCAGGGCTTCGAATGAATGAAGTACATGAAATCTGCCGCCACCTAAAGCACTGCTTTCAAGTGCTTCCGCTCGGCTCTGCAACGCCTCTGTTTGCTTGCCTTCGATTGTGTATCATGAAGTTAAAACCCTAAACCCTGAATCCTAAACCCTAAACAGCTAGGTGAGAAGAGGGAACATCAGCAAGGTAATTCCAGAAGCTTCAGGGCCGCAGTGCCTTCGCCGTCCTTACTATGACTGCAGACGTGAAGCTCCTTGTTGCAGTCCTTCCTCCACCTTGAACTGTCTTGAGGATGGCTTCTTGATTCAGCGCGGCGATCCTCTGGATGGGGCTCCTCCCTTGGATGCTGCAGATGAGAGTGCTGTCGCGCTGCCCAAGAGCTGAGCCCTGAATCATCCTAATTAACGCCGCAAGCCCGAACCTCTGCCGAACCCCTAACTCCCTTGAATCCTATAAGTGAGTCTAAGTCTTTCGAGCGTTGGCAAGTCTCCCAGGTGCTCAACCTGTCGAACCTGAACATTTTGCAGGACTCACGCTGGGCTGTTTTCGTTTCTTCACCATGTTGCACTCAACAAGACCTATGTCAATTGCTCTCATGTCCTGTTCTTCAGTCATTTCTGGCGTAGTCCCTGGGCAGATCCAGCTCAAGGGCCAGAGCGGAGTACGCGCCATCGTCAAGGAGGCTTCTCAGAGCAATGCCCGTTCGAGATTACTTGATGCTGGTATATAAGGATGTCAGCGGTCCAAAACATGTCGATGTGTCATGTCCGTTTACTCAATAGCTCCAGCGAAAGTCCGAAGCGGAAATGTGTACAAGAGCAGTATTGGACTGATCCTGACTACTGTCGTGTCCTCCGAATTTCTGGTGTCTTGCCAGTCCTTCATCCGGATGTACATGTGGCCGCTGACGGCTTGGGACGTTGGTTGATGCCTCAGTCCTATTTACGCAAATGGAGAAGAACAAGAAGAAGCAGACCAATAAGACGAATAAGAACACGAAGAAGATGCAAAACACCGGCTGGGAGCTTAAGGTACTGCTTCCTGCGTGGCGGAGTGTGTCCCGTACTATGCCGCCCCACCGGAGTGCCAGTGGCCGAGACTGGGGGACTTGTTGCTTCTGTGTCACGACGTGTTAGGTGGCGGTGTTACCTACAGTCTCCAGTGTAGTTCCTTTTTTGGTTTACGGGTTACATTATAGGATCCTGAAAATAAAACTGTCTAAACCACAAAAGGCACTACAATGGAGACTTGAGCTGAATGCGAACAGCTTCTTGTTGTTTCAGTCTTCCGAAGGTTCCTTATGCTCGTGAGCGTCTTTACCCGTACAGCGGAGGCTATTTGTATCTACTTTCGAGCATTTTCTAACGTCCGAGCTGAGTCAGGAGCAGTACCAAAGGGGTTAAGGCCTTCGGGTATGGGGTTTAGGGTCAATTCTGCTCCTATTCTTCCAACCTATGATGACAAGCTCGTCTGCCATATGATGGCATCACTGGCATGCAGGGCTAACTTTTAGCTTAGAGACTTGCCGTCGGCAGCTGCGTGCCATTCGTGGCGCACCAAGCAGCCTGACACAGGCTCAAAGCATCAACTGCTGGTCTAGATGTATGGAGCGCCATCATGCCCACTATAGAGCCTCAAAGCTCAGAACGGCATCCTGCAGAAGCGCAGGATCGCACGTCACAGGCAGAGTCTGGAAGCGACAAGGAGACCGAAGAGCCACCATGTCCGGACATAAGCGCATGTCTCCCTGGCTTCTCGTATGAGGATGCCTTCATGCGCAGAGAACGCGCCTTTGCGCTGCATGGCCACGAGCAGCTTCGTGTCCTGCAAAGGTTTATGGAGCTTGATGGTACCGCTGGCACAGTCTGGCCTGTCACGGAAGTGTTCATGCGAGAGTATCAGTCTCTCGCTGACAGAGCTCTTTGGAATGCTTCCGGCAAAGGCGTGTTGGAGCTGGGAAGTGGTACTGGAGTGTTGGCCATGTTTTTGGCTGCTCATCATGCCACAGGAGTTGTCGCCACCGATGTCGGCGATGGGCTAGAGCTTCTACGAACTAACCTCATGCTTCGTGAGAACATGGCGGCTTTGGGCGAGAGTCATGATGTCTTGCACAGTGCCCAGCTACGGTGGGACGAGCATGCAGTGGAAGACCTCGCCACGATCCGTGACCTTTGTGCCACGGCCCGTCTGGAATTAGACACCTTGGTGGTTTTTGATGCTCTTTACAACCAAGATGCTCTGGATCTCTTGTCCGAGGTGATCAGAGAAGTCTGTGGCCGCTTTGGGACGCTGCGCTCACTGCTTGTCGGGTACCAGGATCGGCAGCCCGAGGTAGAAGCTCGTGGGCTCCAGATGATACAGGAGAGTTTTGCTGGGAGCTCTGAGCTTCACGTGAGGCACCTCTTCGACATTGCACCTGTGCATGCTGTCATCCTCGAGAAGATCTAGTCCCAGGTTTGTCCGTTACACCTTGCGTCTGCGCTTTCCCATGCTCCTCGCAGACGAGGCTTCAGCCAAGATCGGATGCCCTGCTGCGGGTTTTGGAGGGCTGGACCCTAACTGCCAGTAATTCCGGCACCGGGACCCGTCCACGCACCTTTGCGAAGTTGAAAAACCCGGAACCTGTCCAAGACGCACGGACTGTGCAGGAGGCGAAGATTTATCATGACACCCAGAACGCAGACAGCCTCCAGCTGCGAGTGACATGTTCTCTTCTCGCTTGTCAAAGGCCCGTCTCAAATGTAGGTCGTAGGTGTGCTGCCCACAACACATGCTTCATGGAAAATGAGAATGAATTTGCAAATCTATTGGCGGCTCATACTGTCACTGTCTCTTTCTATCTATCTATCTATCTATTTATCTATCTATCTATCTATCTATCTATCTCTCTCTCTCTCTCTCTCTCTCTCTCTTCATACATATTTATTTATATATGCACATATCTGTTGATCATATGTATGTATATCTGTGTGTTTGAATGCATAGATCCATACATACTTACATACCTACATATATATCTACATACCTACATACATACCTACATACATACCTACATACATACCTACATACATACCTGCATACATACCTACATACATACCTACACACATACATACATACGTATGCTCACAGACTTCACAGTCACCAACTGACAAATGCCTCTATGCACAGATACACAGTCATGCATCTACATGCACATGTACATACGAACACTGTATGAACATTCTATAAATATGCATATAGCAAGCATCCATATGTGTACGCACCCATCCGTCCGTCCGTCCGACCGTGTCCGTCCAACCATCCGTGCATATGCACATGCGACGTCGTGCTCGATTGCTGTAGTGTTGTTTTGCGACATTGAAGTCAGGGCTTGTCCAGATTGAACTGCAAAACCGTTCCAAGTGGAAGATTATACGTACCCTCTCGCATGCACTCACTGTTTCGTCGACAGCACGGCCCTTCAACGAAGCAAGCATGTCGAAGACACAACTGTACCAAGAGTGAAATATCGATTCGAGAAACTGAGAAGTCATCTAGCCGCCTCACCAACAGTCCACCGGTCAGACGGGAAGTACAACTTAGCCACCCTGACCTTCGATAGTGCCAGGTTTATACAGCCCCAAACCGAAGCCAGACAGACTCTTTATGACTCTTTAACAGACTCGCTTACTCGGAATGCACGTGCCTGAGATTTCAATTTCTTGACCATGCGATAGCAGTGCAAGTGTTGTGCACTGGAATCACTAGAACTCTTGTGAAAGTTGCCGTCGACGCAAGCCTAAGCGAAATCCCAAGACTCCCAGACAGCACCAATCCCATGTGTGCCACCGCCAATTTGCTGGTTTTCGGGCAAGATTAGAACTCTAAAATCCCCACCTTCAACCGAAACCGCTGGATCCTGACATCCCAAAGGCAATGGCCTTGTCGGCTGCGACTCAGAAGAGGTGGTTGTTGGTAGCGGCCGCAGGCAGATGAAGCCTAGTGCAGTGTGAGTGATGCCACAGCCTGGAGACGGAGTTTAGAGCTTTGGGTATGCGACCGTAGGGTTGAGGGTTTAGGGATTGGAGTTTAGAGCTTTGGGTATACGACCGTAGGGTTTTCTGGGAGTCTTGCAGGTTGAAAGCCTACGGTTCTTGAGACGGCTGGACATGGGAGGGTGTTCGAAGCCAAGGGCCTGAATTGCTAGAACTGCCCGAATGTCATGTCAGGAACATCGTGAAGATCACCCTTCCCACCGAGATGAGCAGCATCGACGAGACGACCACCCACACCATCAAGGCTGGTCGGTTTCTTCGTGTGGCACTAACCGGCAGCTTCCAGCACTCGCGATCAGAAACTGCATGGAAAGAGACGAAGAGAGAACACCAGCTCCGTGAGGTGAGTCGGCTTAATGATTAGGATAGGGCTTTTGGGTATATAATATAATATTATATTATATTACATTATATTATCTTAAGGTACACCAGGCAGTTTGCCTTCTTTCGCTGTGCCTGTCAGATCAGCGGCTTGACCCTCCCCATGCAGGGCTTCTTTGCCACACGTGCTGGAAGCTCAGTTTAGGGGTTAGGGGCTTAGGGAAGCATCTCGAGAAAACTGTGAAGTAATCCTGCGGTTCCGCGAGTGGGCTGGAACTCATTCCTTACGACGCCAGAAGAGGCCTTGAAGCTTGCTGCAGCTTTAGCAGAAGCACAAGCCCGGCGTAGGACCTGCCTGGAGTCCAGTCTGGGTCCCTTTCTTCCTACGTGTAGTAGCCGTGAAGATGCTCTGCTCATGCTGTCTCTGCCAATCTCACCGAAAGCCCGCGCTTGCAGATTGGCGTTCAGCTGACTCGTCCCGACGACACTGCACCGCACTATGTCCAGTCGTCAGGACCGCGTACTCGGCGTACTCACTTGGTTCATGTAGGGCCCGGCCTGCTGCAGAGACTTGCAGCGAGTCTTGCCGCGCAGGTGCAGATTCAAGGATCCGCAAGTCTCCGACACGGAGTGTGTTGATGTTTTGCCAGGACTTATCATGAAGGTCCCCGAGCGTGGGGCCACCACAGGCCCCGCGCAGTTCTGCAGTGCCGCATCGCGTTGTCCGTGCTAAGCGGCGCGCGTGAAGTAAGACTTCTCGTCTCTTGAGGCCGCCTCGTCATCAGCGACCGCTCCGGCTATGGACCCTTGCCGTTTAAGGCACGTGGGAGAGTGACACGGGGACTCGCCTGGTTCTGGTGTCGGGTCGTTGATATCTCAAAGAGTTTTCAGATCGCAGCGATAAAAGCGAGCTCTCGCTACCAGGTTGCAAGGGTTGATTACTCAAGCAGTGCTTCTGGTGTCTCAACCACCCCCCTGCCTTCACACTCGCCTTTCCAGACAAATACTTGCCAGGAGGCGACAGATAGAGGCATGCATGACATGGCCTCATGACGAGAGTCACGGGTGGCAGGGAGATGCCAGCAACGTGCTGTACTTCCGCATTCAGCTCGGGGCAACGGTGCGGCTCGCAGACGTTTCACTTGCAGAGCCAGCCTTGAACCCTTGGACTCGGCCTTTTCCGCAGTGTCTCTCGCCTGCCAGCTTTGGAACGTCGGCCGGAACAACGCGGCTTCACTGACCATCAACCTGTCCCGAGCCCAGATGGACTGGCAGGGAATGGGCAAAAATCGGAAGGTCGAGATGTGTCAATTGGAAAGCTTCGTGACTGTGTAATGGGCAAAAATCGGAAGGTCGAGATGTGTCAATTGGAAAGCTTCGTGACAGTGTTGTTTCAAGCTGCTTTGTCGCCGGACAGTTGTAAGAAGCAGCCCTGGAGGACAGGTGTCAGATTCGTCAAACGGCTTTCGTCTTTGATCACGGCTAACGAAGAAGGCACGTGAGTTTGTCGTTCAATTATCCAGAGGCGGCTTGCATGTACCTCGGCTGCCGGCTCGGCTGCCGGCAGCAATCACACGGGCAGTGCTGAATAAGGTTGAACATATTCTGATAGCGTGGCCCAGAAGAACCCGCACTTTTGCCAGCCCTAAGCTGCGGCAAGCACTTCCCGCGAGTGTTTGCAACTCTTCGAATTCGACTGCAGCCGAGCTAGTGTCGATGAGCGAAACCCTGAACCCGGGCACTACTTCTGCCAGCACTCGGGTTTGGCTTTGCACCTTCAGGCCATGCTACCATCAAAATTCAGATAGGAAGAGGTAGCCGCAAACCCTAAACTCCAAACCCTGAAACGAAAATCCGATGTTGGCCTTCCTATCTCCCTGAGGCCGACCGGATACGGCGCTTGCTCCATTGTCGGCTCCGGCCAACCTCCTACGGAGCCGCCCTGGTCTTTTGTATTTCAGACTTTGAGAAGTCGCAACAGTTTCAACAGCGGCAGGCGGACACAGTGCTAGCTTGCGGGCAGTTGGTCCCTTTTGGGACAGTATGGAGCAGGTAGACAGTTACCCCAAGAGTGACCCTGCTTTGGAATAGGCCCGGAGATGTGATAACGGGGCTCAAGTCAACTTAACATTTGATATCGTGTCTCTTTGCCCTTCCATGCGTTACAAAAGAAAGAGGTTGCCTGATGCACGTCCTAGGCTCTAGGGTCAGGGTTTCTTGTCTTCTTTGGAGTTCAGACCCAACGTAGAAAGTAAACCCACGGACCCCCTTTCGGCCCTCTGATGCCCTATGGAAGAGTCTGTACGGCCGTAATTGGGGGATCGTGATGCTTTTGTTGCGTGACTGGGCTTGTCGGGGTTGCTTACTCAGATGGGAGTCTTGACCAGATATGCCGGGGAGTGCTTCGATCGCTGCTTGGCATGCAGGATCTCAATGTGTTCTTGCAGACTACTGGCGGATATGCATCGCCCTCAGAAGACAGAACCGTTCTGAACGCGACCATGTGCGAGAGGATTTGTTTGGCAGTGCGTTCCGGCACCCTATTTATTTCATATGTCACCGTCATTGCAGCCGTACTCGTTATCTGGGTAGATGGAGACGTCCCGAAGTCACGACTGGCCTGCAAGATCGACAACAACCGTGGAGTGCTCGCAGTGTCGAATGATGATGGCCGGGGAGCCCGGTGGAGTGCGGAGTGCTTGCTGTCCATGACTGCCCAGGTTTATCGCGTAGGCCGTAGGCGTATAGGACATGTTGTTGGCAGTGCGAGGGGCTTCATGCTGGGTTTCAAGACCTGCAGCGCCGGTTGCATCCCATGAGTCTGGCCCATGAGTTTTTTTGCCGTCATGCGGGTGTACCGGCTTAGCGGAGCCGAGCATAGAGCCCATTGAAACTTAAACGGTACAGAATGCCTACCGTGAAACCCAGAAAGCTTCTTGCAGGGGCCTGCCTTACTTCACCCTACCCCCCGCCTGAGCGCTACGATGCCCATCATGTCTTCGTATATGACACAACACAAACGGGTCACACCTGGCAAGTCCATGTAAATGTATAGAATCTGTACTAGAGCAGCGTTTATGATGAACGCCTACG